CTTACCCACCTTATTTTTTTTTTTTTGTAGGACGTGTTAGAATTTTAATTATTGTATTTTTTTTTTTTTTTGGCATAAGTATAATAATTTAGATTTAGGATATAAAAATTACAATACTCAATTTTATTATTTACTTATATTAATAATAATGATTATATTATTATAATATTTAAATTCACGCGGTAATTATTTGAATGTTATCTTATCACCGACGTAGATATCGAATAAATACATGAACCACGGTTTAAGATAGAATGGTTAAGCGACGAGGCCTGTTATTTCGGCGGAAGAGTTTCTTATCAAAAATATGAAAAACTCACTGCCCCGTGGCGCGATCTACTAAATTACCACGATAATCTTGATATTCTTTATTTATTAAATAATAATAATACTATACTATAATATAATACTATATTATAAATAATAATTATTATAAATTATTAATTATTATTATAATACCTACTTCATAATCCTTTATGATTGAAAACCACGGTTTAAGATCATCTATCTTAAACCGTGTTGAAAACGTAGAAGAACTTTACAGTGTATTTTTTTTTAACAAATGTCAAATTTATTTTTATTTTGGCATTTAATAGCTTTCCAATCTAATACCAGCTGTATGAAATGTTAACTAATTTTACAAATAAAAATAAAAACCAGTTGTTAAATAAACCGATTTTTTAATTTCAATTTTTCTATTCTAAACCAAAACAGATTACCAAAAGGAATAATAGGTAAATCAAAATATAAATATAGTTTGTATAAAACATAATTTTATAATTTGTAATTGTTAATATCTTACTATATATAATACACTATAAACCAAAAGCCAACCAATGTTGGCACCGGAAGCGCTAGTATCCAGTGAGTAAAAACATTTATTTGATAAGAAACTTTTCCGCCGTAAAGTACCGTGGGATTGTATGGATCGTCGCTTAACCATTCTATCTTAAACCGTGACATGAACCAAGGTGGATTGATATCAATCCACCTTGACATGAACAACAGTGGCTCCGCAACAGTAATACTTACCACCGGATCTATGGCATTTGTAGGCTCGTTTTATATTATTCCGTCTAAATACGGACGAGGGCCGTTCTCCGACAAATGATAACAACCAATTTTTACTCCGACAGTCAGAGTGACCAACTGTAAAAACAAAATATCAAAACTCATTTTCGTAAAACTTTAAATCGGCGGTTTAACCTTAATTTATACTACATTGTATAATACGGCCGGAAAACTGCTTATAGTGTTCTAAAAAAACCATATGTACAAATAACAAAGCTGAAAGTACTAACAAGTTACAAGTTACTAGTGTTAACTTCTGAAGTTTTTTTCTACGGTAACTGGTAAGGTATTATAATTTATAATGTTAACTTCTGAAGTTTTTTTCTACGGTTTGTAAATTGTTTTACAACACATAATCATCGTAAAACACAACTTATAAAACGTGTTATTCAATAAATATTGAAAAATGTAATATTATAAAATAAATAATTCAATTGTCCAAAAATGTAAATATTATAAATAGTTGATTCAATTGTTAAAAAGTGTAAAGCATTAATAATAAAATAAAATTTTCATAAAATGTTAATATTATGCTTAATGTTAATAATAATAATTATAATAATAGGTAATACAAATGTTTTAAATTATGCTTATTGACAATAAAACACACATAATCATTGTAAAACCAATAAATTCATCGCTACTCGATGAATCTAAAATACAACTTATAAAACGTGTTATTCAATAAATATTGAAAAATGTAATAATATAAAATAAAAAATTAAATTGTCCAAAAATGTAAATATTATAAATAGTTGATTAAATTGTTAAAAAATGTAAGCATTAATAATAAAATAAAATTGTCATAAAATGTAAATATGCTTAATGTTAAAAATAATAATTATAATAATTTATTAGGTGAATTATGGCTGTGGGCCAACTTGCCCATGAAGATAACCGTCCATCATATGGCCTGCTCTTTGAAGGAACATTAAGAGGTTCCCATCCTCATTTAATATATTAATATAATCCCTTATTCTACGCGTTGCGTCTGCTCTGTCTACTCTAGACTTATGGTTTCTAACCTTAACATTTAAAAATAACAAAAAAACCATAAATATACAGGTAGGTATAAATAAATAAAATGAAATCATTCATTTACTGTAAGGTTTCTTCGAACTTGGTCCATTTCAATATAAAACTGATTTTCAATCAGCAACAGTTTTTCTAGAATAAAAATAAAATATTTGATTGCCTACTTATTATTATTTAACATATTTTAACCAACCACCTTGAATCATAACATTTAATTCACAGCACTAAACAAATAAATACAAATCCATAGGTTAGGTAGATAGTTAGATTAGACTTCCAATTTCCGAACAAATATTATTTTACAAAATTGATTTTACGCAAAAAATCCCAAATATTTGGATGTTTTCCCATTTGGTTTAGCAGTGTTGCATGAAATGACTCCAAATAATTGTTGGTGCGGACATCAGAACTAAAAAGTGTATGTATTTAAAAACTCTTTAGTAGTTTATTTCTATTTTTTTTTTTTTTTTTGTTTTATATAAAATTCTCATACCCGTAGACACTTATAGATGCAGCGCCAATTTGTATTAGCCAAAAATCTTGAACATAACCAAAGAGAAAAATCTGATTTGATTTCAAAATTGATGTACAATTTTGTAGTCTATTAATGTATTAAATGTAGAAAAAGATAAGATAGATAATATTTTACTAAAGCTTATACCCTTTATTGTAAAGGTCATTGAGAAGTAATATATTGTATAATATCTATAAAGCTATTTTATAGGATATTCAGGTAGATCCTAATATCTGTTAAAGATTATATAATTGTATTGGGTATTCTTGCCATATTACCTCATGCTTTAAGGGGATTCCACCCGGTGATTTTCTATTTTTGTCTAACACACGCGTGACATAGTACAGAAAATCACGGTATGGAATCCCCTTAATATTTAATAAGATAAAATTTTGATTAAAAGATCATTGATATCTTTACTGTAATTGTCCATATTATGTACACGGCTATGTGAGAGATATTTTAATGTGTTTTTTTATTATACAAATAAACTTGGGCAAGATAACAACATTCTTAAATTTATGATTTAAATTCACAAGTCTTTTATATCTTTAAATGTTGAAAATTTGAATTTGAATTAATATGTATCAGAAAAAACATTGAAATAGAAGTATGTTTATTCATTTAAACTTCAAAATGTATTATACTTTTTTAAATACTTTTTACTTTGAAGTGTTTAAATGGTGTTTTAAATACTTTTTTTTTATTCCTTTAATTTTAATTTTATTATAATATTATATAAATCATTATTAATTTATGGACAATTCAATATCGGTCTTGTTTTTTGTCTATTTATAGCTTAATTAAATTTTTTTTCTCCAGAATACAGTTTACCATCGATGAAACGGTACCAATTTAAAATATATTATAGCCGTTCAGCAAAAGCTATACTCATTATTCACATTTTTATTGGCTGTAAAATATACTGTGTGATTACTGATTACTAGCTTTGCTAAACGAAAATATAAAATTTATAATTAATATACCTTAATACCTAGAATTAATTTGGGTGGTATTTTAAATATTTTATTTTTATAAGTATTTCTTACAACACTGGAAACTAGTTAGTTCATTTTCTAATCAACTTAACTTTCCTAGGTAAATAATACATTGTATATTAATTTATCAATCTTGTATTTCATTAACTTGGCCACCTTTGGGCCATAATTCCTAAGCATTCATTTTTTTTAATTGCAACATGATAAATAATTTAATATGTTTTTCTAGCCCTGTTTGAATGTTAATGAGCGGTGTGACAATATGCTTAGTGTTAGCATGACCAAAATCTGCAACATTAAGCTACTACTTAATACTTTTAAAGTCCCAAGTATTACCAAGTATTTTAACTGGACAACACTCGTATATACAGTATATGGACTAAACTAAATTAATTTAAATATTCATGGATCTCGTCGTCATCGTCATAAAAATGTATTTCGTTTTCATTATGCATTATACATTTTTATATTGCCAAGTTACTTTACTTTTAATGTAATTTGATAACGATTAAATTTCCATTTTTATAAAAATACCAGAGCTTAATAATAATTTGGTATGTTCATGTTGTAATATATTTTGTTCAATAATAGTCCGATACTTCGACAAGTACGGTAGTATGTTTGGTACAACATTTCCCTAATATCAATTTAATTCAAATTATGTTGGTATTGGACAATATTTGAGGTTACATTATGTTATCAAATTTATGTTTGTCGGAGAACGACCCCCATCTCGTCTAAATAATGTCTATATCACTATTATGTGTTAATCCATGATTACTTTAATCATTATGTATTCTTATATTTTTCTGTTCTCATGACTATAATCATTAATCAATAATCATTGTTCGGTAGACTTTCGTAGTCTGTAGTAACTACATTTTTTTATAGTCTGTACCTACTCTGTAATTCTGTGCTTTGTGCTCGGTACTCGGTAGTTACCTACTGGCTAATGGCTACAGCTGGTTACTTGGTATTTCTCCTACTACAGTAGTTCGGTGCTATTAATAATAGTATAATTGATATTTAATATTTTGTTATTGATAAACTTTGAAACTAAAAATATCTGTTATAATTATTAAATAATGACTTAGTAAAGTGCAGTAACGTAACATTGGATGTAGCTAATCTGTATACTGTACCTACATAAAGATAATAGAATATTCAGCAATATCGGAATTTACGAGGGAATTTATTATTATTAGTTAAAACTAACTTATTAATTTATTATTCATAGTTTATAACAGCCGGTAGTCGGTACTCGAACAGTCTCTTTAAGATAAATTATAATTAATAGTTACTACTTCTTACCAATCTGGTCAAGTGAATTGTATTATATTTAAATCGCAAATTAAATGATACCTAGTAAAATATAAATCGAAATGGATAGCTTTCATTTGCCCTGCAACAAATTAAAAGATGAATATCAAAAATGTTTCAGTTCTTGGTTCGCTGAATGTTATATGAAGGGCGATTATGATGATAAAAGGTGTGCCCAAAAATTTGATCAATATCAAAAGTGCCTTCGAGAAGGTATGCAAGTACATTCCTTGGATATTGAAGATGTATTAAAACCTTACTTGGGAACAGAACGCATGAAGAAGTGAAGTTACAATACATTTTTTTTTTATATTATGAAACAACTAACATAACATGTGTAAAAATTAAATTAATTTAGTAAGTACGTAGGTATTTGTAATAGCTTGGAATATATCTAAATATTTCTTAATTTAGGTTCCTCTAAGTTATATAAACTTTTAGCTGTTGAGTAATTTTATTTAATATTTTAAGAGTATTAATTGTACGTCTGTATTAGGTATCTTTCTATTTGTGTTATACTTGCACTGAATATAATATAACAAAATATATTCTAGTATATTTCTAAGTTTTGTTATAAAGTGTATTTTAATTCTATTTGATGTTAGATGAGTTAGTAAACTTCGTTATAAACCTCATTAAAATTGTTTATATATATTGTTTGTTTATGCAAATGGAGGATATAAAAAATGTAGGATACATACCTAACCAATAGTAGTAAATTAGTAGTAAATTTACCAAGAGCCTAGTGAAGAATAGTTCGCTCTACCAATGGGTTACAAAGTATATAAGTTACACACTATATAAAAAAGTTATATTAAATATAGAAATTATTAGACTGTTATTACCGACAACATTATGGTAAATTTAGTAGTTCCTTCGTCATATTTGTGATAAAGAGATCAATGCTTTTGTTTGTATTTGATTTATTACTGAATATAATATTGTCATACCTATTCTTTTATAATCTGTTTATTAATCTCCGGATAGGACATACAAGGTTAACACACAAGTTCCTAATGGCTAAAAAGGAACCACCTCAGTGGAAAACCTGTGGGCATTAACGGTTAAACATATAGTAACAAATCAATACATCAATGACCTCAAAAATATAACATCCCACCAGTGCTCAACTTGGCAAAATTAAAGTAAGGGGACTCTGTTTTTAAAAAAAGAGCTTCCCCATCACTTGTTAAACATTATTGAGCCACAGGGCTATGCCCCCACGCCCCCTAATAACCCTTTTTAAATCATATAAAAAAATATTTATAATTAATCAATTAAAAAAACAAGACATAGGTAATTACTACATGTATCTATTATATATAATATTATAGTTATAAATAATAACAAACTCAAACGGATAATAAAAGTAAATTAATTAATAGTTTAGTAATAATAAGTTAATATTAACTAATTTATAGATCCGCGGCAATGAAATAATCCATAAGACAAGTATGATGGTATCTCGCATATTTTGATAAAAATGCAGAATGAATAAGCGTCCCCTACGTTCCTCTTAAAAATAATAGTAGGGGTACCTACGTTCAAATTTCTGAAAAATTAGTTGGGGTACTCCATCCTCCTGCGTACTCTCCCCCCAAGTCAAGCACTGCATCCCACCAAACATGGGAAACATTGGGACCAAACACAAAAAAATCACAAATATGATAACCTTTATAATGAAAACTGAGTTATTCAATAAAATTTAGCAGACATAGCTATACAAAAGTATTACTGTATTTATTGTATATTTAATCAACATTACTATGAATTTATGATTATTATTTTGTTGAGATTGTAAACATTATATACCTTGCCAACTTTTATATTATATACTATGATTTAAAAATAATAACCTTTGTTGTTGATGGTTTTTTTTTTTTAAGTTCAATAAAAAAAAATATAATATATATCGGTTTATTCCATCAAATTAATATTTTAAACTATTTTTTCAATATTTTTAACTTATTTTATCAAAAGAGTGCTGAGTGACTGTATGACTTGTGAGTATTGAGTAGTGACTAGGTATACTTCATAATATCTAAAACTCTACAATATTATCAATCATGGTCCATGGTCCATACAGCAAACATGATAATAATATGTAACTGCACATACTACAAATCTGGATATCTTAACTTAGTTATCCAAGGATGAGTTTGTTTTTTTTTTATTAATGTACAATTTGTTTTCTATTTAAGTTAATTGTGACAAAACTAGAGTGTGTCTATTTATTTATTTTACATATAAACGGGCTTCCGCCAAGGCAAAAAGGGTACATATAACATAATAATAAAACAATAAACTCAATTTAACAAATCATTAAAGACAGCTATTAAATAACAAGAATAAACTGAATTAACTTGTAAACTAAGGAAGTGGGCGTCCTCATTTGCTATTCTCATCATACGGTATCATCATGATCATGCCACCATATAAAATAATGTATTAAGTATACTTTAACTAGTCTCAGTGGGGCCAGTGGCTTAGCCAGGATTATGAAATGGGGGGTGTTTAAGTATAGATTAAAACCAAGTTTTTACAGTTTTCGTATATAAATAAATTTAGACTTGTGGGCTGTGGCACTAAATATTATCGAAATATGATGCAGTCAAAGTTGTCAAAATATTCTTAAATATATACAGCTACATTTTTATATTATTTTTGAAAAATTCATAAAACATACTACAATTTTGGTAATAAAAAACTAAAAAATAAGTAGGTATATAAATAATTTATACACAGGCTTACTAATTTTAATATAGGTAGGTACCTATATTGATTAATGTGATGGACGGAGTACACTATTGCATGTTTTGGACATTTTTAAACTATTGTGAAATAAAACAACTTGATTTTTAAAAATACTGGAATAAAATACTAGGTTAATAAATATGTAATAAAGAATAACGTGATATGCGAACACCGTGATAAACGAACATGTATCTACTGATTTTCATTTTTTTCGTACAATCTAGAATGTAGATGTCAATTAACAAATGTCCTAAAATATGCAAATTCAAACTTTGTTTGATTAGACATTTAAAATATTTCATAAGACAAATTTATAACTTATGTAAAATAATGCGAGCAGTCCCAAACCCTATAAATATAGGGTTTATAAACAATAAACAATAAACTGTTTATGTTTATAAACATAGTCCCAAACCCTATCAACATATTTTTATTAGGGAGGAAAATGTCAATGGGGGGTGTTTAAACACCCAAACCCCCCCCCCTGGCTACGCCACTGAGTGGGGCACAGTGTTCTTGTATCTAAGAAATAAAATAAATGATAATAATAATAATTTTTTTTTTATTGATGCTTAAGCCTATGGCTATTAGCTGTTTGTGAACCATGTCACCTATTTTCATATAATATTTTATTCTAATTGAATTAAAGAATATAATTAAAACTTGGCTTCCGGCCAATTATTTACCTAATATATTTATTAGTGATGGGAAACAATATTGATATTTTGATACAATACCGGGAATTATTGTAACAAGTTTTATTTTCTTATCTCCAAATAGCAATTAATGATTATTAATTTAATATTTATATTTATTATAACTTTTAATAAGCAATAACTAATGAGTACTAAGTAGGTAGTTAATATTTAAAATATTTTCGATACAATATTGATATCGTTCAACTTACAATAACTTACGGCAAGGTTATTGGCAAAATCAGAATGATATCGATACACAAAATTATATGTTGCCCATCACTAATATTTATAGTCTCAATGAACATTAACAATGTGAAAAGGTGGGAGGGTCTTAAATCTTAATGTAGGTCCAGCTTTTATTAAATCCATACTTTGCATCATTCAATTTGGGTTAAGAATTTTCCATGTGTTTTCTGCTAGAGGATCTTCTCCGAGTATGAACTGCAAATATTTCAGCCATTATTCCAACATCTTGGTGAAAGTGCAGCCACTTGCGCTCATATGCAGTTTCACTAAACCGTGCGATTATTTTTTCCATTTAACATCATCTAAATTTGGTGAAAATAGAGTAGTTGTTCTTTCTAGATATTCTTTCCAACAAACACTGCAATATAGATTTAAAATCTTGATAAATCTTACTGATTTTGTTGTTGCCACTAAGAGTTCTCAATACCATTACAATTTTCATAAAAATGACGATCGTCCAGTTGATTTTTTCCATGAATACCAAGATTGTTCAATAAATCACCATATGTTTAGCAAACATTTCAATAATCCTCTAGTAATGCGTGTTCACAATCTTTCCGAGATGGTGTATTTGGGCTGGGTATTGGTACTAAAAAAAAAATATAAATTTATATAATAAGAAGATAAATATATGTGTATTATATTTTTAACAAAAGCAACTGTTTATTCCTAGAGTTAATATTATATTCTAAGTCTTAATTCCTTTAAACACTTCAAATATTGTTTTGATATTATATAGAATTTACTTAATCAGAACAATAAAATGCTATTATGAAATTATTTTAAACCTAATTGAGCTCCAATTATGTATAGATTAATAGATTATAACAATGCATTATAGTATTATATTATTATTATTATTTTTTTTTTAACCCTTAAACCCGGCATCTATGGCCATTAGCTGTTTGTAGGGTTGTATTGTGGTGGTGATAGGGTTTGGAATGGTGAGTTTTTACACGTGTGTTTGTGTTTGGCAGAATTTTTAAGTTGGCACCCGTAGGTCTCTGCCATGCCCGGGTGGGGGACGGCGGCCTTTCTCACCAGACACTGTGACTGCCCGAAGAAAAATGCCACCCGTAGCCGGGATCGACACCTTAGTCCGCTTGGCCACTCCATCCCCCTATATTATTATTATATATACTTATTAGTTATTATTGTTCATAGTAATTTGTACGATTAGAAACCAATTTTTGAGTGTAGTAAAGTTAGTGTTTAAAAAAATGTAATTTTTTTCATGGTGTTTGTGAGAATAAAATATCATATTATTTGATTCATGATTTCAACAGAATAACTTTTTCAACATTTTTTTTTTTTATACAATAATTACTTTATCTGTTGGACAGCTGCTGTCTTCTTGATATGTTGGTTAAATATGCATACATTTTTGTTATTCAGCGGGACTGCAACTTCAGTGCCGCAACTAGGGTTCAAATCTTGGGGGTGCTATCATAATGAATCGCTCACAAATCCGTTTATTATTAGGAACAGTAAACACACATCTCCTTTCATAATATTAGTAGTTGTAGGTCTTTTGAAATTAAAATCTTCAACATATTTGTACTATTTTCTGGACAATGCCAGCACATAAGCTTGATACAATAGTAACACTTCAGCACCTGAAACATATTATAAGCTATAGTGACAAACTAGCACTTATGGAATATAATTAGGTATAATATATAACTATAGACATCCACAAGAGCTTTTTTGAGATAATGGTCAATGTGTCAATGTTACAATTATAATTTTTTTTTTTTTTAATTGATCTTTGAAGCTGGGCGACTATGGCCATTAGCTGATTGTGGGGTTTTATGATTGTAGGTAGTAGGGTTTGTAATGGCGGGGTTTTTACACGTGTGTGTTGTGTTTGGCAGAATATTTGATTGGGCACCCATAGGTATCTATGCCCGGGTGGGGGATGGCGGCACTTGTTCTCCGGACACCGTGACTTGTCTGAAAAAAAAATGCCGCCCGTGGCCAAGGAATCGAACTCGGGTCGGCTCGGCCACTCTGATGCTATTGCTTTACCTTCTCAAGGATTTGTAGCATTTCCACCACCATGGTAGACCAGCCCATCATGGCATTTCTAAAAATTAAAATATGTAATAAGCAAGAACTTTCTTCTATAGAAAAAGGATTGAGTAAGTACTAAGTAATAAGTAATAAGCTAATAACTAATAAGTATAAATATTTAATTTAATTTTTTTCACTATGTTTACTTTATATATAAAATCAGATTACTATATCAAATTTGCATTGAAAATCTCATGTTAATTGATATACATCATATTGTGTTTTTTTTTAAATACCCGAATTAACCATAATTAACCCGCATAAATTTGCATTTAACCGTAACCAGAAAAATGTATTAACCCATAACACCCGAATTCAATAACCCAAATTTTCTTAAAACACCCGAAACCCCAAACCCAAAAAAATGATTACGGTGCAAAACCCTGATAAGTAGAAAGATTTAATAATATACATTTATAAATATATAGCTAACATAATGGAATATAATGTCTAATAAGTGATAGCACAATAACTTACTCATCATTAAAAACATACTCACATTCTTCGACGTCAAACAACAAGGGTACTGCATCTTTATGAAGTGAAAATGTTTCAGACTTAGTGTTCTTAATGAAATCAATTTCAGAAAAATGTTTACTACACACTGCTGTTACTAATTTTAAAATTGGGATAATATGACTTAATTTGATGTAGCCATATATGTCGGAGTTTTTCTGATGCTGCAAACCTATAATAAGTACCAAAATCATTAATATCATCAATTGAAGCATATTAAATATAAAAGATATATGATATTGATTACTTATGTAGTTTAACATTATGTTGTTTTGATGTAACACCTTTACAAAGTGGAATTGAGCACATCCTAACCATTTTGATAAAGTGAGGACAAAAAAAAAACTATTCAAAAATGGTAATAACAATAAAATAAAGAACACTACAAAAGGTTCAATTTATAATTCAAAATGTCAACTGTATGGTGAATTTTAAAAAAAAACACGTTAAAGGTAGACGGTTACTAGACGCTAGAAAGTAAAAAAACAATTTTTTTTTTTATTCTTTATCTGTTCTTTATAGATTATACACAAATCAAAATAAACCATAGACAAAATTCTGATAAACCTAAGACCGTGTAACAAAAAACTATATAAACAACTTGGTTGTAATGTGGTTGTAGGTAATAGATATCACAGTGATAAAAGATAAGGTCAGTGCACACGAGTTAAGGTATTCACTATTTAGGGCTCAGGCGACCGGCATTCAACTCTCAACATTATTCTCATTAATTGTTTTAACTCAAAAGTCATAAAACCTGTAGTTTTTAAATTAACAAATAAGAATAAATCGTATCACCATGTCGAGCAGTCGTTTTACACCAAGAGGTTTTCCTAGAGTTCCGCTTCAAAATGGTATTGGGCGTTACATCTGTCAATTGAAAAGAGTCACATTAAGATTTTGTAAGAGCAGTGGATCTAGTCGTGGAATCCGTGATTTCATCGAAACAGATCTAGTAAGTTTTGCACAAGATCACCCAGGTACAGCTTTGTACTTGAAGCCTCGTCGTCACAAGTCACCCTCATTTGTCGCCGAATATTTGAATGGCGAACGCGAAGTAATCAGTTGTCACAATTTCACTGCACAACAAATGGTCAAGTGGTTAAATTTATACACCACCCGATCTGGAATACCGCTTATGAGGTATGTAAAAATGTGGCATACAGAATGCCCTTCTATACAAGGAGTCTGGAGTCCTTTTACAAACAAGGATCCTGCATTAAACATTACACAGTTTCCATCTGAGATGTTATCAAGACCTGTATGGGTAGAAAAATCCGCAACAGAAGAGTTAGTAGAAATGATAAATAAACAAAAAATCAGCGATGAAAATGATGACGATACACAGAAGGTTCAAGCAGCTCATGTGTAAATGAAAATTTTTCAAAGGATCGTTAGTTACATGATTTAATAAAAATTTCTTACAATAAAATACTATTCTCTATTTTATATGATGATTTTTTTTTTTTGTAGTATTTGTACAAATAAGTATATTTTTAATAATTAATATTTGTATTACTTAAGTTAAATCAATAAAATATACCTAGCTATAATTATTAGTTTAAACATTTTGTTTTATTTTATAAAACTTAATACCTATTAACTCAGACCTTAGGTAGAAACATGAAGTCACCAGTCGCCCAAGATTCTTACCTCTATGTAATTAATTTTTGGAGGAATGAAATGAAAAATGAAAAAATTTAAAGGAAGCTTAAAAATATATGATGATAAAAATTATGTAAATATATATTTCTTTTAAAAAATTTAATTTTTTTTCAATATCAAATAAATTAGGTGAAAATAATATTTTCAGAAAAGTTAAAACTTTTCAAAGTAATGAACGGTTCATGATAAAAGGATCACTGTAATTTGGATATTAATTCAGGCAGACTTTCCTGGTGGGCTGCTGCTCAAAAATAATTTATTATAATATTATATTATAATATTTGTAATAAAATCGGTAAGTATAAATATAAATTATATTTTGTATTTTCATATCATAAGACATGAGTATGAAAAATTATTTATATTAAGGGGCCTGGTCGCGATTTTTCAAATTTTCCGCAATTCTATAAAATTTGAAAATTAAATTTTATATTTTAGTTGCCACCTCAATTATAAGACTTTTCCACTAATCTACTACCCAATACCTATTTAGGGGGGGGTTGATAGGGTGTATTATATCGGTCAAAACACAGTTTACAGGAAAAACTCTCACACCTCGTAGATTGGTCCGATTTCCGTATTTTTTTTTTGTTAGATAGAAGAATATTTTTTACAGGGCGCATTGGACTTCAATTTTTGATTACGTTGCTAAAAATAATAATAATACAAAAACTAAAAAGTTGTAAAAATGGATTAAATTCAAACTTGTAATATAAGATTTCGAAAAATAATTTTGAAAATCCAAGTCCAATGCAATGAGCCCTGCAATACGTCTTCCTCTATTTAACAAAAAAAAAATTACGGAAATCGGACCAATCTACAAGGCGTGAGAGTTTTTCCTGTAAGGCATGTTTTTAAGCAAAAAAACAGGTCGCGACCAGGCCCCTTAAGTGTTTAAGATTTTAGATTTCGATTCAACTGATTGCATGTCAGCCTTATAAACATTTAAATGTCGCTTACCTTGGAGAACTCCAGCATCAAGTTGGTAGTAGAATTTGAAATTTGGAATATATATTTTTTTTCTGTATAAATCGATGACAAATCAATTGAAATCATTTATAATTTATAAATTTATAAATTATCCAATTTTTATATCTTAATACATTGACAATTTAGAACAAGGTTTCTACAAGTAGTTTAAAATAGTGAAACCAAAAAATATATAGACACTGTTTTAATTTCAAATTTCAAATTCATAATAGCCAATAGGTAATTTTGTGAAATAGTGATGATTCAGTAGTAAATATATTTTATTTTATTTTATCTACGCCATCCAAAAGAATTTAAATAGATAAACCTTCATTAAGTTAATGTTGTGATATTAATATTCATATTAACATTCATTAAAATAATGTAATATGTACACAAGAAAACTTTAAAAAAAAACAATAATTGATGTGTTCGATCGCCGTTTTTTTAGTATTCTGGCTAGGCATATATTATTTGTTTATTAACGAATGTTTGACTGTGAAACTCAATCAACATTAATTTATTAATCGAAAATATTTTGTTCGTGTATGGCTGTTTATTACACCCTCGCTAAACTAGTATATTTTTCTGGATTAGAAAACTATATTTACTTACTGATTCAATTTGTTTCACTAAATCAGTTGAAAGACTTCGGTTATTACAGTTAAAACGATGGATACAAACGGAAAGTATCAAAACATAAGTAAGTGTAGTTTAAAATCTAACGCAAGGGTTAAGTATTTATTTTACACATAATAGTCTATACCTAACAGTTAGCAAACTATAGGTAGTAGGTACTGTAGTAGGTACTTATCTATATTTTGAATTTTCAAACACGTTTGCCGTTTAATTAATTTAATTATTTATTTTAGCAAATAATAACTATATATAAGTACTTAATAGCCACTAATAGGACTTTTTTGTATATGTAGGTAAGAACAGCGGTTCCCAACCTTTTTATATATTTTATATTAATTATGTTAAACGTACGAAACAAATTGTACCTATGAATTAATACAATTTTAACTTAATAACTTTTAGTTTGAGATCTTGCTATTTTTTTCTATATCTAACCAAAATATTTTAAGAAGCAGTCTAGGAGGTAAGACTAAATAATTTTTTTCTTTCACTTAACTATATATTTGGTTATAAAAAGTTTATATTAACAGGATGTAAAAACAAAATTTCTCCAAATAAAAATGATCCAACCTACACATATTATTATGCTTATTCAGTAAAAATGAATTGTAAATTATAGACGGAAATGTTAAAAACAATGTATTTTAAATTTTAACTTGTATTAGTTTTATATATTTTATTAATAAGACAAACCAAAAATTATTTATAAAGAATATCACGTTAATAATAATTTCTCGTTTAACGCTGCCACGTTGCCAGTTTAACCACTGCTTGTATTATAATATATTATGTATATTTTAAATATAATAGGTATAATATAGTTAGATAGTGTATTATATACATATACCTATTTCGACATTTCGTATTCATGTTTTAGGTATTCAACCGACGAAACTTGCACGGACTTCTAAAACAATATTATATGAGGTACATATTAATATTTAATATTTATTAAACTATTAACTATATTTTGTTACCCATATAGGTAATATATATTATTATAATTTTTATTTAAACATGTTACGACAATACACGCGTAATGACACGCTAAATCTATCCTAACTTCAGGAAAAAGTTTCATGACGTCCTTATTCTTAACGTTACATTGCATTTGAAAATTAATAATATCCTGTTTATTAAAGTTGCCCAGAGAAAACTTAACCGAAGCCGAACTAGTCAGAAAATCGACTTCCGACAGAACTAAACGCCGTGTGGCCCGCAAGGCGTGGTTTCCCCTGCCCGTAATCACCAAGCCTGTAATGACAGAAAAGCCTAAGCGAAAACCAAATAATAATAAGCTGGTGTTAAAGAAGCATGGAGTATGTACCTATATATTATTATAATATTATAAATAATATAAAGTACCAATGTAAATCATAAGGTTCATTGCGCATGTTATAGTATTAATTATTTTTATTGTTTATTAATATTTTCTAATGTTAGGTGCCTCCTAATTCATGTAATTGGGTCCAAACCCGTATTATATTTCAGTGTATAAATAATTATATACCTATTTTATAATACAATAAATTACCAGATTAACAATATAATATTAGGTATTAATATTATTATTATGTAAGTAGGTATCTTGTGTTATGTGTAAACAGAACAATATTATTGTACTTTGCACTTGCTATAATTGATTTTTTTTTAATATAATATTAAACAAATACAATTATCGCTCGGCTCAGAATCTAATACAGTAAACTCTCGTTATTTCGAAACTAAAGAGACACTGTAGTTTGAGCTATCAAAAAGTTCGAAGTATCTAGTGACGAGTTTCATTGCAATTGTAATTATTTGAAATGTGAAACGTTCAAACGTGTATAGGTGGTCTATAACATCTTATACGATAATACGGTGACATTAATTACCATAATAATTAATATTTAGCTTAATGTGTATTAGATATGTATATTATTTATAAAAATGATATGCGAGAAGTGGCCGATGATAATAATAATCTAGGTAAAAATTATTATTCTTTTTTAGAGTATCTGGAGTGTAAAGCCCTGCAGCAAAGTAAGACAAATAACGGACACATTTGTCTCAGGAGCTCGACATAGCCAGAATAGCCAGTCTTCAAGTTCTGGTATAGAAGATAGTAGTAATACGTGTTCAGTTAAATGTGATAACAGTTGTAGAAACTCTTAAGTAGCTCTGATGTGTAGGTGTACTACTTACTAGTATATAGTGTATATATAACCTACCTCGTCAGTCGTCATTGAGTAGGCCACTGTAACACTGCAGAAATGGACCATGGACGTGTAAATGTGTTAAATTTATATTCATTGATAAATAATATAGATATTGTTATAACCTGCAGAATGAATGTTCTTAAGTGGAGGAGACCTTCTGTCAGCATCTATTTCTAAGGATATTTTATTAATTATTTATTTATTTTTCCATTGCTGTATTACTAATATAGCAGTGTCGAAAATATATTTTTTACGTGGGTGGTGGGTCAAACCTAGAAATTAAATTTGCCAAGCAAAAATGTCTATATTTACTGCTTCAGGTAAATGAGTAGGTCATACAATTTTCTTATACAAGTATACCTCTACCAGCTACTATCATACACCATATATACACACATAGCCACATAGATATTCCTACGACCTAGTACCAAATTATTGGAGGGGAGGAGACAAAAAAGGGCCCCTCCCTGCTCCTGGGATTTTTCACAACTGTAGGGCAAGTCAGTGGAAGATTTGAGGGGAGGGCGAAGTGGCGATTACCCCCCCCCCCCATAGGGCTTATTTTTTTAAATTGAATTATAGCACCATATGATATAATGAATATTTTGAAAATGTTATCTTGTATAGAAAATGCAAATATAAACAACCAGTGAAAATTTCATGTATTTACGATAATTTGTTTTAGAGTTACACCAAAAGCCAAAATCGATTTTGTCAAAAACCGATTTTGAGTAAAAATTCCCGTTTTTCCTTAATTTTTCTTTTGTTTTTCTTGGTGCTTTTGAAAACTGTTGGGAATTTTAAATTTTGACCTCCCCAATTCATCAACGATATTCACTTTCCCATCGAACAAGATACTGAAGTTTAAAATCGAAGCATTATTTCGACTACTTTTCGTGTA